CATTCTTTTCTATAGAAAAAGAGAAGAAGTATACATACAACGCCTCTAGTATTCTTTTATATATTGAGTAGATGGGCTTCAGTGGAAGGATGGAATCACAGATTTCCTAGCGTCATCATCCTAATATCTAACGCCAACCTCTTCGGACTTCATGAGGCCGCTTCAATGCTTCCAGTTGGGCTCTGCCAGAGCCAAAAGGCCTAACTCGCCTGCGACTGGTCTGAAGGCCATGTTCAGTATCAAAGCGAGCGCTGATTGGCCAAAAGTGTGGGACTAACAGCCAATCATGGTTCAGTATCCACTGCATTTCGGTTGCCAAAACCGCATCCAGAATCCAGCTGAGTCGCTAGCTTACGACGTTTTTCCGCAAAACCAAATTTGCTTCCAACCGAGTGTAATTCGCTAATTTCGTGCAATTTGGTTACAGGTGGAACACGAGGACCAATGAGCCCCAAGAAGGGCATAACCGATGGTGGGTTGTCGAAGAGTTGCCAACATCCTTGTGAGTAGTTCCCTTTATTTAAGCAAACTTCCTTTTTTCAAAGGAGTAAACGCCTCCCACAAGGGCACAGAAATAAAGGTGAAGAAATTTTCATGTTCACGTGACTGAGCACATGCGTGCTAGAATCAAGACATTTAAGAATGCAGTGCGAGCTGGGCCAACTCACACAGCTGTAGAACGTGTTGCCGGAGACCCACCTGGAACCCAGCCGAAGCTCTCGTTTATGATGTTTTAGAAAAAAGAAACCTGAGACTATGAAAACAAATACTCGTTTTGGAGTGGTGTTGACGTGAGATCAAAATGAATATCTCACTTAAAACAAGGCAGTCGTTGTAGGGCCACCGGATTTGTCCCAAGAAGGACGAAATCGATCGTTGGCTATCGGGAATTTTCATCAACCTTGCCAGTAGCGTTTTCCGCAGAAGAAATCGATTTGAATCTCGTCTGACTTGATCTCAACTTGAGAGTATCTAAGCAGACGGACATTCAGTTTAGATGTTCAAGTGCACGGTAAGTTAGGTCGGGTAATACGTTCACCAGATGAGATCCGAAAGGGTCAAACTGATCGCAAGCTCTTTGCTTTAGAGAAAGGCCAAATTTACACCCCTGGATGAAGGGTTTTAGCTGTAAGTTGCCAACGCGTGCACGTGAGCGATGATCTGCTGGTCGCAGGTGGAAAAACGGCTTGCCAATGGACCACTTAAATCAATCTTTATCAGAATCTCTTTATTCCAAAGTCCGAGTTCCGCAGTCGGTTCTCTCATCAAACCGGGAACTGATCGTCATCACCATGAGCATTTTCATTTCGTAACGAGGGTAAGGAATGAAGTCAAAACAATTGAGTGACCATTACACGTTAACCACTAATCCATCGTAATGTTATGAAAGAATTTTATTGAAAGAAAACTACTCATAGAGTTGGAAAAAGGTGCTCAACAGCCCTTCTTGATAGGCGCAACCCACGAGCTTCCTTCAGACCCATGTTCAGCTTGAAACGACCTGTGTGCAGCTGACGGGATTTCGTGGTCAGAAGTCGACGGAAACTAGATGCGTGTGCCTATCTGATCCGCCCGATTAGAAGAGACGAAACCGATCGTAGACTGTCCAAGAGTTTTCAGAAACATTCTGAGTAGTATGTTATGTTTAGACAACGTAAGAATAAATTAATTGAAAGCTCGTGGTGGTCACTTGGGGTCAGTCAAGTTTAGTTTACTGTGGTATTGAACAGAGCTTGTCTACCGGTTTTGTCATATTCTGACCAATCAGCTTGCAGAAAACGTCATCCAGTAATTATTGATTACTTTCTTGCCATCACTTGAAGCCCGAACCCTCTATGGTCTGTGACACGTTCCGGTTAGACAGACTTACTGGTTGGCGTTTTCATCACACAAATGAGCAAAACTTTGCTAAACAAGCAGGGTTTAGTGAACTTGAGTCGGGCACACCAATCACATCACTCAAGTGTGAACACGTTCGCCTGTTCAGACGAGAAAATTCAGATGCGTCCACCAACGTGCGTTGGTGGAGTAGTGGTTACACGCTCGCCTCGCATGTCAGATGTCCGGGGTTAAAATCCCGGCACGGCCATTGGATATACACTGCTGATGAGCTCTAATAGTCATCATTGTCATCTGTAATAACCGCGTACTCGTCGTACTGTGGTTGTAGCTGCCGCAGTTTCGTTCACCGATGGTTTGGGGGGGAGGGGTAGGTAGCTGCGCGTTGCAGGCGGGAGCTGATAAATTGGGGCATAGATCCAGCACTGTCAGTGGGCTGTCAAGTGGAGGGGATTGGGAAGGGAGCTATGCATTGAAGGCAATAGCTTTGATGCACGAGCGCCATTGAGGGCGCGACTGGGCCATATCTGACAATGTCTCTAGCCATTGATGTGGCCCGTCTCGGGGTCCCCATCCAGGAAGACAGCAATGACCAGCGCAGCTAAGTTTGCTGATAATAGCTTTCATACTTCTCTGCCAAGTCATTTGTTGACCGCCTCTGACTCTCTTCCACCCTTCACGTGGTTGTGCTCTAATAAGAGCGAGACTCGAGTCCAGTGCTTCCCCCGTCTGGTGTGGACTCACCGGAATAATTACGCCAGAACGGGAATATGACCGTTCAAACAAGAGTGGTGTGACTGAACAAAACTCGAGATAGTTCAGTGGTAAAAACCTAAATTTATTGATCGAAAGGTTCCTGGTTCGAGCCCACCCTCTGCATCTCGACTGCTCCTGTCTAGGCTTGGGTAACCTGGCAGTATCTCAGCCATTCGTACTTCCTTCGGGTGTCTTGGCAGCTAGACAACAAAAGGTGGTTGAACAGTTCCGCCAAAAAGTCTCTAATTGCACTTTGGATGACAACATCTCTCAGGTTAGAACTGATTTAACACGCAAGCAATCAAGAGTGTATCTGCGATCTCACCAGCTCCCATAGTAGGGCATATTTTTTCAAAATTAATTGAATTTTTGTTTGTCTGAATGACATTCAGAGTGTGTCATTCAGGTACTTTAAATAATGCTTGAGCGACAAATGTCCGTAGCTGTTATTCGATTTTCAATTCATTTCGTTTCTTGCAATCAACAAGTGTTCAGTATTTTCCAACCATCTGTAGCAGGTTGGTCAATCGATCGTGTTATATCTGCTGACTCGCCAATCTGTGGTACTGCTGCTAAACCCTGTGGTATCTGCTGCTAACCCGCTCCAGTGCCTAGTGCCGGAGAAGAAAGACTCACAGAAGGGAACACAACCGCTTTATTCCGAACATGCGAGTGCGAGAGAAAAAGTTACAACGGTCCCACGCTATTTAAAGGGGACTTTGACATTCATCCAGCCTGTCTGATTGGCGTCAGTGAACACCCGTCAACATCGATCGTGCCTCTATGAGATGCCTGAGTGCTGTTCACATTCGGTCGTGCTTCTGTGGCGCGCATGAACACTCATCAGCTTTTGCTGAATTGCTTGAATGATTGATTGGCCTGGACGCTTGCCGGCTTTCCTGTTGAGATTTTGGTGGAACAGTAGATTCCGGGTGTTCTGAGGTTACTTTCAGGAATTCGACCTTCCTGATGGATCGAGGAAACCAGCGTGGTCGTTTGAGGCATATCGCGTGTTCAACTTCCGGCACAGTCAGCAACGTGACAACTCCTAAGTCCAAGGGTTCATCTGGATGTCAGCGCACGAGAATAGTTACGGCTTGAGAGGTCAAAGGCTGCTCGAACGAAACGCACATATGACATACCCAACAACCACCTCATATGTTAAGTGTTCTACCTGACTTTCGTGTTGAGCGTGATTGTAGCTCGTTTTATGCCATCCTCATATTTACTGCCACCCCTCCGTCTTCAGAAAAAACATTGGAAGCGTTGTATGTTGACTCACGTTTTTGACAAACCTGTTTGGTCATGACAAACGTACTGTAGAGGTGCAAAGTTATGCTGGGATGGGGACTGCCCACCTTGGATGGAAAATTGGATATCATGTCAGATCTACTCTATAGGAGAGGTTTTCGTCATCTTAGGAAACTATCATGACGTTATTCGCTGTCAGAGGGACACATGTTGACTGGAGGAGAGAGAGAGAGAGAGGAAGAGATGGGATCAGTCGGGAAGGAAATATTCTAGAAACCTTGTGATTGGTCAAGGAAACTGGTCAAGATGGGTTTCACTTGATCCAAAACTTTCTCTGCGTTTTCTTCAAGGAGAACAGAAGGTGGAGGAAGAGAGTCATCTCCAAGTGCATTTAAGAAGACAGTCTGGATGTCATCCTGGAAAATTTGAAACTGACGGTTGACCATTTTCAACCTTTGAGGTTTGGAGCGTTGTGTCGAATTACGAATCATGTGATGTCAAGATTGCGGGAACCCAATATTCATAGTGGAAGGTCATATCCAGGTAGTCTGATTCGCTACTTTCAGCAGTAAAAGGGCAACCGTCGCCACTTCACAAGATCTTGAGCAGAAATTTTGGATCTTTTTCAGATAAGCCCGACCAAAAAATGAGCCCCCGCTACCCAGAAAAGATTAGAAAAAGAGGACATGGAATGTGTACTTTTATTTTTTATTGAAGACGGTTTATTGGGACATGTCACTGCACGGAAAGGTCCGTTTTTCAGTACCTTTGCCTCCAAACCAACTCACACAAGTAGCTGCTTGCTAAAGATCGGCGTGTGCCGCATTGGCGTTTATTCTGCATCTTGAAGACGTGCCAAAGAGATTCGACGGTTTGTGTATGAGCTCCAGTCGTTGGTTGCACAAAGTGTTCGGTCTGATTAACCGTTTCATGAGTGTAATTCATGTCAATCATCGTTTCTATTCCTCGATACGACGCCCACATATCGGAGATGATTGAGCCTGGAGCGATGGAGGCCTGGATTGTGTCCATCAAAGTAGTCGCAGTTCGATCTGGCCCTGCAGAGACGAACAGCTCTTTAGTTTCCCGACAGATCCCTCCGAAAATCCACTGCTGGGGAAGGACTCGTCCTGCGTGGTCTCTACGGCGGGACATTAGCGCTTCATCGATCTCGACGTGTAGACCTGGGCCGCCGATGACTGTTGGAGTCTGCGAAAGCCGTCAGGAGCAAACTTCGGGAAGAAAGCTCTTCCAATCAACGGCGATCGTGTGGCTAATAGATAATTCCCCTGGGCAGAATTTGATTTTTGCCAAATTTTTTGGACCAGCAATAAATGAATAGAATTACTGTCGTAAACTCCATCCTAGGCCGCTCCAGCCAAGTTCCCTTTCGGAGACCGATTTCATACCGACACTGTCGAGCATTACACCTCCACCTGTCAGAAACGGTTGAAAGTGTCGTTTGGTGGCATGAACGTTGTTGATGGATCACTCCGTGGGTTTGCCAAAAAACGTATTGGCGTCTCCTTTTCATGAACGAGAGTTGAAAGCGTCAGGAATTTCATTTAAGAAGAAAGAAGAAAATGTCTGCACGAAATGAGCCTAGAAGAAAGAAGAAGTGATGGGATCAGTCGTAAAATAAACTGAAAAGGAGTTTTCTAGAAACCTTATGATTGGTAAACTAAACTGGTCACGATGGAACACACAAGGCCATTACGACCTACAAATAGGTGGAAATAACACATGATCAGCGTCTCAAACCCAATATCGATTATTCCACCGTCGAGGCTGTGTTAGGGTGGCTGTCGGATCTCGTGCTTTCTTCTAGTTGTACTGAAAACGTCCCAAAGATGAGTTGCTACTGGGTGTGTTTGTTGCCGGATATTTGGCTCAGTCATGCCAAGGAATTCCAGCCTATCGGCTCAATGAGAACGAATCACGAAATAAATGTACTTTTGGGGTGGCCAGCCAAAAAAGTACGCTTGCATTTCATACAAACTGGAAACTTGGCGTCCACACCAAAGTTCACGTTTGTTGTATACGTAATGCACTACTCATAAGGTTGCTGAAACTTCCCCGACGGTGGAACACGCGTGAAAGCGAACCCCCAATGAATCTGCTTTGAAACCTCTTCCACCTAATCAAAGCTTTGTTTGGAACCGTTCCTCGTGGTTGAAGTTTCTCACTGGGTTAGACGAGGCACACCCGAGGCCATTACGACCTACAATTAGTTGGGAATAACCCGTGATCTGAGTACTTTACAGTGGTCACGATACTACTCTCGCAAGTCATGGATTCAAAAGCCTGGCAGTTCTGATCTAGCCAGGTGGGGCTCATGAGGCATGCAAGTAAATTACACTCTGGTCCTTTACCTTGTTTGTATGAGCTATTTCGAATTATGGATCCACCGACGCGCCATTTCCCCAGCATTTGTGAGCACAGTTCACTGGGTAACGAATTCCTTCCTAGCTGCGTTTTCCACTGTTTCGGCAGCTCGCACCAGACTGTGACGAACAACCAGTTACTCGGGTGTATTCGAGCGAAAAGAACGAATATGTATCACTGGTTGAGGACTCCAGGGAAAACGAACCGAGTGTCTATAATGAGAACACGTATGGTGTGATATGCTGGATTTTATTGCAACGAATACGCGGACATGCCGTTTATAGCATTTGGTGACGAAGCTTTGATGACGAAAATAGTTGGGCTGTAACCGTTTCAATTATCGTCGAGATAGCCGGTCAGTTGGGATGAATGAAACGGCTTGTTTGCCGTTCCAGTTCGCGTCGGACTGTCGCCAGATGTGAGCTTCATGAAGACCTATTTTGCGTGTGTAACAGTGAGTCAAATCAGGATGAAAAGTTTATTTGTAACAGCCCTTCCATGCGAAGTTTTCAGTCTACCTGGTTATCGATTTATGCAAGAGTACACCGGGTCCTTCTGTGATTGGTCATTCAAAAGTCGTTCGTCTCATACAAATTACGCATTTGGTGCCAGCTACTTTGAGTTCGGCTCCTCGTTGCTCGAAGAGTCAGTCAACACGTGATGTGGATCCCGTGGTTGAAGGATGAGCGGCGTCATTTCCTGACTAAGTATGAGTTAATCTTACTGCCGATCAGCCGCTCGTGGTCGAAAGGCTGAGTGTTCAAGCTACTAACTGGGGGGTCGCGGGTTCGAGATTCTCTAGAGCTTGTTGAGGTGCGCACTGCTGATGAAACAGCTGTACACAGTGCTTCCTGGCTTTTCAGCATAGATTGGCTTCACTTACAGGACGAAATGTCCACAAAAAACCCAAATCTCCTCACACTGGCAACTGTACTTGTATCTCGGTTTTTCCTACTTGATACATTATCCTTGTAAAAATGTGCTTATTCCACAGGTGTTATCAGATGTCTAACCAATGAGAATTGTGCTGCAAGGAAGGCCAGAGTTCAGTGTGACCACAAAGCAGATGACAGAGGGGATTCAGGGTAGTATGCAACTGAGTGATGCTCCCCAACAATGGGCTGTGCTCAACCACAGAGGATCGTGGCAAGTCGTTTGCCATAATTCCACTCATCCGAAAGAAGTTCGTCCTTCAGGGTAGATGACAAGAGATCGGTCCTTAGAAATGAGCCAGTCGTCTCAGAATCACGTGTTTTCCTAGACAGGTTCGTAATGCATCCTGATCAAATGTCTTTGAACGGTATCTGTTGATGACGACAAGGACCATCACCGTTAAATTAAGACTTATGGTTAGTATCAGGAAGGTCAGCTTCCTGAAAGCAACCACAGAATGCCCAAAATCTACCGAGACTCTCAGGTGCGCTAGATGTTAACCAAATAGACAACGCCCCCTCAATATGCAGCGCGTCACAGCCTTGCACCAAACCCAGACAGCGCGAGTCAGCGTTGATCAAGGACAGACAACGCCTCCGCAATATGCAGCACGTCGCTGCCTCGTACTAAAGCCAGACCGCGTGCGTCAGCATTGGACCAAGTTCAGACAGTGCCCTTCCAATAAAAAGCTTGAGGCCGTTGTACTTTTCGCACTCTCACGCACTCGCGCTCTCGCAACCACTTCGTTGGAATATAGCTATTGTGTTCCCTTCGGTGAGTCTTTTTCTCTCCGACACTAGGCACTGGAGCGGGTCAGCAGCAAATATCACAGACCGACGAATCAGCAGATATAACAGTTAGTGAAATACATCTAGGTGCAAACAAATTCGGTTCTGCAGGATACTCGCTTGTGATGTATCCAGGCAACTGAATGTGCTTCACCAGGCCGCCTTGTGTTTCATTCGCTAGGATATTCGAGATATCGCGATACATGTATATCTTTGTAATGTTTTACTCATAAGGTTACTGAAAATCCGTCGACAGCCCACGACCGGTTTCGCCCTTTTTGGGGCTCATCAGGTAGGTGCGCAGTCCCCGGGTTTCCACCAATCTTATTTTCTATTTGAAACCAAATTGCACGAAATTAGCGAATATACACTCATTTGCAAACCAATTTGGTTTTGCGGGTCCCTGATAGGGCGAAACCGGTCGTGGGTTGTCGATGGGTTTTCAGCAAACCTATGAGTAGTACACTACAAATATACATGTATCGCGATATTTCAAATATCGTAGCGACTGAAACATGAGGCGGCCTGGTGCAGCACATTCAGTTGCCTGAGAACATCACAAACGATAGAGATTCGGCCGGGTTCTAGGTGAGTCTCTCGAAAAACCAAATCAGTTTGCAAATGAGTGTATAATCGCTGATTTCGTGCAATTTGGTTTCAAGTAGAACATAAGGTTGACGGAAACCCGGGGACTGCGCACCTACCTGATGAGACCCAAAAAGGGCAAAACTGGTCGTGGGCTGTGGACGGATTTTCAGTAACCTTATGAGTAGAACATTACAAAGATAAAACTCAGAGAATTTTGAATCCGTGACCTTTTGGCCACGAGTGGCTGACCAGCGGTGTGATTATCTCTCACACAAGTTCGGTAACAGACCCCACCTTCCGGAGCTACGAGAAAACCACATACTACTCGCATGCTTCATCAGTAGTATCCACCATGTTGTTTCATTTGCAACGTTCCACTCTTTAGACGTGATTCGCTCATAAATTTGGCGTTATGCATAATATTACTATTATTACTGATACTATTGTTATAAGAAAAGCTAACCAAGGTCATGCAGTTCTTCGTTGCGCTCACAAAGGGGGAAGTTCATGCTTCTGGACGAATGGTCACCGAACGTGTCCTTGATAATGTGAAGACTGATACTAAAGGTTTTATTAACTCTAACGTTTCTGTGATGAACGAATTGGACGCACGAATGGCCAGAATTGCGTTGGATAATTTGTGTAGTTTGTGGCATCAATAACGTGTTTGGTAGGTTATCATTGGACGCAGGCCGCTTTGTTGTACGGCCTCTCTGGGCGGAGGATCTTCAGCCGTTCGTCCGCCAATTCCTTAGAACTGTAGCTGGAATTGTTGGCTGGGACTTTGAGTTGAACGAGAAGCGGGCTTTGAGTCCTCTATCCAAAGAATGCATCCAGCAGTTTAAGCTAAGGTGTCTGGCCCATGTGTTACGCACGCGGAGTTTCCGCATTCTAAGATAAACCCTCTTTTCCAGACATAGTTAGTCATGACAGAAGAGAATACAGAATGTCACGAAATGTTTGAGTATTGCTGGTGCTTTTCAGAATGAGATCTACGTGACCATCTCTGTGCTTCGCGGAAACCGTCAACGCTATGGCGGCTCACCGATGTCAGTGACCTTCTTGAGTAGGTATCTAGTAGACTAACCCTCAATTCTCACTCCACTATATGGCTTTATTCAAACAAAATGACCTGGTAATGCTGGTAAATCGTCTTCATCTGGAATGGCTCTCAGTGAAGATGATATGGAGAATGAATACGTAATCTGACCTCAAAGTTTCGCAGAGCATTGTGAATCTGGAATCCCGACTGATTTGAATGAAACAGAGAAGAAAATATTCGTCAAGTTTTTCTTTTATTGGTATTCTGAAATCTCACAAAGACCAAAAGTATGAAAACGGTTCTAATTGAGGGATGGATCCGGTTATCCACTGAGCAGTACAAAAGAAAGAGATTGAAAACTCGTTTTCGGTAAAGTTGGGTTTGATGAAATTGGACAATCAACTATCTTTGTGGGGTTAGGTGTGTCGGGGAAGGTTCTGGCGTCCTTGTCCGGTCCTGTGCTCCTATGTACACGGTGGTTCTGGGCAAACAGTCAGTAGACCGCCAGCTGGGACTCGTTTCGCCAGTCGCCTGGCTCACACCTGGGTGATGTTCACTTCGAACCATCCTCGTTGTGGATGGACCATGAGCTGCCACTAAATGCTGACTACCAACCGCATCAGAAGCCGTAATAATCGGTTGAGTTGCCGGGGGAAGTGAAGTGCATTGTCGAAGGACATGATGACTTGGTGCTTCTGGTTGAGGGCTGACTTCTTCAACACAAACAGTAGAAGATGTCTCGGGGTTTTTGTATTCTGTTACTGTGGTGTCTATCGATTCCGACCGTTGTTCTTTCGGCACAACAAAACGGGTGACTAAAGGGGCGGGATGAAATCCAGGTGGAAGATTTGTTTGGGTGTCTGGAATTTTAGCGCTATGCAAAACGGGGTCGACCGTCTCGTTTAAGGGTTGGAGTTGATCCTCAAGGTCGTCACATTTCGGGTGCAGATAGTGTGAGAATGTATCCGGCGGAGCTGGTAAACGTCTATGATTGCTTGTGCCTAGGTGGTGAAATCCCGATCGATCGGTCCTACATAGGCTCACGAGCCGATCGATTTTGACATCGATTGCGTCGACCTGTTTGAATGAAAATAGGAATGGGCTATGAGTCACGTTACTTATGACACATTGCTGTGTACAAAGCACAGCTTTACGAGATACACAATAGGTGAACAAAGATCAACAAAAAGTTAGAAAGGTCCATGAAAGCGAACGTCAGTTGCCAAGTGCAACAGAGGGTGACCAACGGAGGCGCTGATGACACGATTTATCGTGGATTGCTCATATCTACCGATTGACTGTTGAATTCGGTTCACTCCATAATTTGGCGAGTTCCCGAAATCCTTCCCCAAAATCATTGCTTAATTAAAACCGCACCTGATACTAATCGAGAGTGAAATATTGATTTCTGTAGAACTGGAAGTTTGAAAATTTAGTGGGGAATGCACGGAAGGATCTGAAAGACATCGTTATAATGTTGTGAGGAGCAATGTGAGGAGCAATGAGCCAATTAAAGACTAGGAACGGCGAGGTCAGTCATGTTGCTTTGTTAGGCCCAACTTTTTCGATTTATCGGGACGGCCCCTACTGGGTCTAGGCTTAGAACTGGATCAGATACAGACGTAAAAACCTTACCAAAGGTTCGAAATGAACCGTACGTTTAGGCTGTTTGGGGCAAAACAAAGTACGTATAAAATTCGAGATGAAAAACCGACCTAAGACATGAGCTTTGAGGACATTACCTCGACTTGTTAACTCGCTCTTGATCTGAGAAGTAAATATCACAGAACAAAGGAAACGTCACCATCGTCGTTAATATCATCATCATGGACAGCGTGACGTCAGTGTTCAACAGCGACGCTTCACTGCCGTATAACCATGATTTGTTTGAAAGCCAGACACTCACTCAGGCAATCTGGATAGAAACTGACAACAAGAACGCCACTCACATCGGCTGGCGGCCATATCTTGTAGTGTCTCCAACCAGGCACAATGAGGATCACGCGGTCCCCATCCTGGAAGGCGAGTAGCACCGACAGCACCCAAGTGTTTCGTGATCTCGTTCATACTCCTCCGCCAAGTCAAGGGTTGCCCACTTCTCTGCTTCTGCTACTCTTAATTGGGCACGGAAACAGCTCTGTCTCTCCGGCTAACGATGGTTCGGCATACGCAACACATGTCCCAACCAACGCAGCTTCTGGTGCTGGACACATTCTTGAATGGAGTTTAAAATCTCGCTTTCTTTAACCAAGGTGAGAAAAAAGTTTATTCTTTCTTCGAGAAATGCACTCATTTGCAAATCAATTTGCTTTTCACGGGAGACTCAATTGAATCTCTCGTTTATGATGTCCTCCACCTGAATGTGCTGCACATAGGCCGCCTCATGATTCAGTTGGCACGATATTCGAGATATCGCAGTATATTTTCATAAAGGAAACTACTCACAGAGTTACTGAAAACTCTTCAACAGCCCACGACTGGTTCCGCCCTTCTTGGGTTGACGGAAACTCGGGGACTGCGCGCCTAACTGATGAGCCCCAAGAAGGGCAAAAGCGGTCGTGGGCCGTCGAAGAGCTTTCAGCCACCTTGTGAGTAGTTTCCTTTATTCTTTATTGTTTATAATTTTGGTAAAAGAGTTTGAAGTTCGATTTTAGCCCTGGAAACCATGTTTTTTGTCAAGTTGGTGGCATGACAGGGTTACAAGCCCCACGGGTACGCCCTGTTTGTCCAAATTGGGTAATTATTTTCTATTTTCTATTTCAAATTCTTCTACGACGATGACGTGGAGCGTTCGGGTGATCCTCGAGCAGCCAGGGTGAATAAAACTCGTTCTAGCGTGGGAAACAGAGAAAACTATGCTCAGAAAGGGTCTAACGAATTCATGGAGAACTGACACTGTCTCCAAATATTAAATTTACACGAAATTACAACCTATCACTGCCAAAGAAGTCGCGTGTCCTTTCACAACCTGGAAGACCAACAGGATGGTTTCCCGAACCCCCAAGAATCCTAACAGTGAGTACATTGAACTCTTGAGCTCAAGGTTACCCTATCTACATTCACACGTGACATGTTGGTTTAAATTTATTTTTGTCAAAATTGAGAGTTTAGACTTTGGGGTTATGGTGCACAACTTTTAAGCAAAAGCATGTTTTAGAAGTAAGGGTAAAAAGCGTTCAGGTATGACAACCTTTCAGTACCTAACTGCCGTGTCACCCAAAGGAAACACGAGGGATGGAATACTGCCAGTTTTCCGAAGCCAAGTCGAGAGGCAAAGCTTGAGTTCAAAACAGGGATCTTCCGGTCATTGAATCCGAGCTTCAACCACTGAGAAATCTCGCCCAATAAAGTAGCCTAACGCTGGATACTACTGATGGAGCATGTGAGTGGTATATTTTCTCATAAATCCGCTTCGCGTCTCTTCAAAAGTGAGCTGTGTTACGGAATTTGTGGAGTCGCACTGAATTTGAGAATATCCAGGAAAGTTCAGGAAGACGCGTTTAATGAGAGTTTGGATATTCAGTTTTTATAAACAAGATGCATGTGATAGTTTTGCTTCTCTGTCCAATAGTCTGTAACTGTTTAGTTGGGGTTTTCTAATAAATAACCCCGAAGCGAAGGTATTTGTTCTTTCAGTAGTATGAGACGGTTGCTCAAAATGCGCAAATAGCCCGCTCATGGTTTCGCCATTTCGAAACTCATCAAGCAGCCGTAGCGCTCCCCGAAACTGGGTCAACCAACCCTGAATTGAACAACAGTCAGTGTGTCATACGTTGAGCGAGATTGATCAGTGTACTGCATCCAGTTCTATTCAGCTCCACCAACTTCAGCATGCATCTGCGATGTTCTCACGCCCCACAAAAACTCACGATTACCAAAGGTTGCTAGCTAGTTGGTGATTTTTCGCGTACGACTCAAATACTCGACGACAAAGTTACGTTGAGCAAATAAATTACCGTTAGCGTGACCTGTCTAGTTAATCGAATCCCCCCATATGAGGTGTCCAGTTGTCCTGGTGCAAGACTCGACTCATCAATCTCTTCTACGTGCGGCATCTGTCTACAGGTGGGGTAGGGGAGCATGCACACTGGTACTCAAACCAGTTTGTCAGTTAGCACTGTCCTGTTTATTCAGCCAAAAGAAAACAGATCGACCAATCAACCTTGCGGGAGAAGAATTAATAAGGTAGGTAGGCTTGAAGGCATAAGCAGAATCGGAAACGCTTTTTTGGCTGAAACAGCAAAACAAGACTACTGGAATTCGTGGTTGGACTGATGTCGTTTCAGAAATGCATCGATTTGATTGTGCAGCGTGGTGTTTAAGCAAACCTGTACGGGTAGTTCGCGAAAAAGCAATAGCGATCAACATGTTTTAGGCCATTCTGGGTTGCATGGAATTCTTTAAGTAAGGCGTAGGCTTACCCGGAGTGTCCATGTCCCACTCAAAAAGCAATCCAAACACAAGTGTGCGCCGTTGAGAAACATAACGGTTCACAAGAGGTGAACCGTGATTTGGACTACACAACAAAACTGTTACTCTGTCTAGTGTCAGTTTTATTCGCACTTGAGAAATGTGGGCGTTATATGCCAGATGAGACAAGGGTCAACCTAAAGCGTCATGCATTTGAGCATGGCATGACGAAGATTCTTCGTTTTGATGCTTCTGTTCGGAGGATATCAGCTGGTACGATCTACGTTTGTCCCGGAGAAGCTGTGTGCTCTTCAGGCACCAATACGTGCAACCCAGACGTCGCAATGTGTTCCTGGCTAAAGTGAACATGGAAGAATGGCCTGCTCACAGGCCATTTCAGTTCGGACATGAGAACCTGGTATAATGTCAATATTCTCACGAGAACTGAACGATGTTTTGCTAACTACATATAGCGAGGTCTCCTGAACCCTGACCTAGCCATGGGATGTCAAGGCGACTGCGCCTCTGGGGAGCAGCTGACCTCTTTGTTCGTTAGACAGAGAGTAACATACATTTGAAGCGATCAGTTCACATTAGGGCCAGACGAACACCTCATCTGTACGCGTGCAACTGAGGCGAGACTGATGCATTTTAACGAAACATTTTTTTTAAAAAAAATCGATGGATCCGGTGGCGGGGCCATTTGTCTGGACTAATTCAACTTCCATAGACTATTTGCCATGAGAATTCTAACCATGAGGAGACGTGCAACATTTTATAAAAGAAACTTCTCACAAGGTTGCCAAGACCACTTCAACAGCCCACGACCTGTTTCGCCCTTCTTGGGCCCATCAGGTAGGTGCAGCTTAGGTCTGTCTGTAGGATTCCGTTGCCAGTATTTCCTATCCCGCCAGTTCGTCACTACTTTCCCCACGTGTAATTCTGCGACTGACCACAGCTCATCGATAAGGCTGTTGAACCAACACGAAGTCTCATTGTCGATCGTGGTCGAGTTACCAACTCGGCACCACTATTTGTAGTCGGTCGCTCGAACTCACATCAGACTCGCTTCGGATGAACAACGCCAATTCAGGCACTTGTTACGTTCCCATTGTTACCAGTTCCGGTCATTAATATGACTCACGGACGCATCGACCGTGTCACTTGTGTACCGACCCAGGCCGGACGGATCACAAGGTCGGCTGTACGCAGAGCACTCATCATCGATTGATCGATTTTCCACGGGCCTTGCAACGATTGGTTTGATGCACTTAGGTGACCTAGTTTATGGACTCGTAATGCGCTTTCATTTTTTTGGGGGGACACTTTCTGGGTAAGCCGTACGCTGCAACCCTAAAGTGCCTGAAATGTGTTGACGTGTATTCCCGAAAAAGACCATCCGATTGCGCTTACTTCGGCATTCAAGCTTATGTAAACCGTTCTTTTCCTGTAAGGTAAATTATTCGATCTGTTTTCTTTTGGCTGAATGAACAGGACTGGTGATACCTGACAAATCATTTTTTGAGTTCCAGTGTGAACACTCTCCTATCCAGCCTGTAGGCGGATGCCTCACGTAGAAGAGATGAATGAGTTGAGTCGTGCACCAGGACAACTGGACACCTCATGTGGGGGGGGATTCGATTCACGAGACAGGTCACGCTAACGGT